TTTTTTTTTTTTTTTTTTTTTTTTTTTTTTGTACCAGGGATTGAACTTGGGACCTCTTGCTTGCAAGGCAGGGGGCGGAACCACTGAGCTAAGTCCCTGGCCCTTCCATGTGCTTTTAACATGGAGGTGATGCTAGGAGGATGGGATCTGCTTTGAGAAGTGGGCCTGGTGTAGGACTCCTGTCAGAACATCCTCTCCTCACTCCAATAACATGTCAGAACCAGAGAAGTGTCACTTCTATTCATTCAGGTGAGCTTTCGTTCTCACTCATCAATTTGGATGGGTCCAATCTTTCTCTTTTGTCTAGGTCTTTATTTAGAAGTGGCAATTCTTAAAAATTTGACTCTTTAGATATTAGGGTAAGAAAATTTAGTTGTTAGGTAGCATTTTCAACTTGATTATTTGGAAGCAGTATTCCACTTTTAAATTTAGAGGACAGGGCTGGGGATTTAGCTCAGGCTCTGCTGCCTGCTTCACAAGTGCAAGGTCTCGAGTTCGATCCTAGGTACAAAAAAAAAAAATTTAGAGGACAGATGGCAGTTAATTTTTGTGTAGTTCCTGTTGTTTTTACATTGTGATACACCTGTGCACTTGCCAGGACATTCATACCCTCTACCTGAATCCTTAGCCAACAGGACCCCTGTACCCCAAGACTTTCTCATAGCCTACTACGTATCTCTAATGATCTACATCACCCCTTCCTTATTACCACCATGGCGTTCACAATTTCCTAGTCAAAGTAGATCAAGGAAGCATGGGATGTCATATGCACAATGAATCTTCTAAGGTGATCAAAGTTCTATATCATGCTTCCTGTTGTTTTAGACAATTTCTAAGCAGCAAGAAATCACCCAGCACTTACTGAGGGCTAAGCATTGCTCTGAATTTTTTTGCAAATATTAACTCATTCAATTTTCATAATAAGCCTAAGAGGTGTATAAGGTAGATGCTATTATAAGTTACTGTAAGGCCACTTTATGGATGAGGAAAATGAGGCACATTTTATGTATGAGAAAAACGAGGATAAGTAATTAACATAAGGTCATTTAGCAAGTAAACATTAAAGGATTCCAACTTTTAGAGGTCTTAGTTACTCTCTATGCACCCATGAAAAGAGAAAGAACAGACAACAAAAAAGGCACAGAAAACTCCAAAAACAAATATTTAAAAAAATATATATTTTCAAGGACATTTCAGAAAAGGACACTGGAGATTCCTACCTAATTTGAAACTGTACTCAATATAAAGGCAAAATCATCTAATGGTTCTTATTATGAGAATTAGCTCATTGAATCCTCATCCTATTGAAGGCTTCTTTTCTAAACATTTACATACCAAAGAGAACCATACTTGAAACATAGTTTATTCCAGGCACTCAGCGGTGTGCAGGAACCCAGAGAAAAAAGCTGCATCTCCTCTGGACTCTGGCAGATGACTGGTCCACACTGCAACAGCCTGTTACTGTTGCCTCTCAGGCCTGCTTAGGGGAAGTCAGCTTTGATGATTTGTACTAGAATCTGCTTATGTTTTAAGAAAAGCATTAGGGCAGGAGTTGCAAGCCTACATTTTCATCTTATCTCTTCAGCTAATGAGATGTGTGATTCAGGACAACTTGTGACATCTCCAAGTAAGTTTTCTATCTTTTTCATGTTTTCTTGAGGTCCAACTGAACAAGTCACAAAATAATATATACTGTAAAGTATTGGAAAACTGTAAGGTAATACTATAGATTGTTTTAACATGACCATCATAATTATATTCTCTTAAGGCAATGTGACTATCTGCCAGAACCATGTTTTATTTATCTTTGCCTCTCAAGGCTGCTTCTAGCACATAGTACGTGATCAATAAATGTTTCTGAAGTAATGGATAAATACCAGAGATTTTGGGGCAGGGGTTGTAGCTCAGCAGTGCCCTGCCTACCTGCCTGGCCAGCGCAAAGTCGTGAGTTTGGTCCGGGAGAGGGAGGGGAAGGGGAGGGAGAGGGAGATTTTAAAAAGGATTTTGGAGATCCACATCAATTGAGAAGAGCCCGTGGAAGGAAGAGCCACTTACAGTACCTGCTTCAACCACGTGGTCCATGGTTGGAAACCTTTTGTACACAGCTGTGCTGACTGAGCGGAAGATGAGCAGGGACGTGAGATTGACGTAGCGCATCAGAGTCCTTCTGAGCAAGCGCCCATGCTGGTCACTTCCATGAACACTGCTGGAGATGAGGAACATCAGCCTGTCCGGCCAGGGCAGATTCACAAACTGGTTCCACCATCGGTTCACTACCAGAGTAACGTAAAATCCTGCAGAATAGGAGGAAATTACAAAGAAACTTCTTACAGTAGACACATTGGTGACACTGATGTTTTTTAGCAGACTTTTAGCCTTTTTAGGAGTTGGGGGATGTAAAAATATGTTATTATCCATACCTGAAGATTTTTGCCCTCCAGAAAGAGAAAAAGTCATTTGTGCCAGACAAACACCCAGTAAGTATTAGAACTCAAGTATTAACTATGAAAATGGAGAGTTAGTGAAGGGAAAGCTTAATTGTCCAACAGCAGATTATTACCTCAAACTTGTTTGGTGTTAATTTAGCAGAAGCAGCCCTGAAGGCAAGAAGCTGTAGGGATGATTTTGTCCTATTGCAAGCGCTGGCTTTTCAGGCATGCCTTTCAGCTCGGAAACACTCCCATGCAGTCATTGGTGCCATCCTAACGGAGACAGCCGCGTGGCTGCATTCTGTGAGTGACCTATACTTACCAAGCACAAAGGTTACTGGAATTTGTTCAGCATATCTGTCACAGTAAATTGATAATTTTTCAAAGTAATGTTTTTGGGCTCCTGTAAGTAACAATCTGGAGCAAAAATAAAATGCACAGCCCTTTATGATATTATACTTCTGCACCTGCACTGCAAGTGACATAAGTGCAAACAGTGAAGCACAAATAATGTTCTTTTAAAAAGGAGCAATAACTTTCCTTTCTCCTAAAGCTGATGTGTTTTAAGAGCTTTTTTTTTGCTTAATGTTTCAAGTACTAAAGTTTTTGCACATAAATGTTACTGACAATTAGATACAGCAATACCTCATTTCACAAATTTTCACAAATTAAATTTGTTCTCCATTTATTTTGGAAAAGATGGCCCTGTTAATGTCTGTGTGGTAAAAATGGTTGTGTTGTCACCTGATGTAGATTTTTGCCAGCAGAAACAGAATTTTGCCAAGCACTTTTGTTAATGAACAAAATTGTTCACAGACAAAAGGTACCACGGTAGTGGTACCATTTATATTTTTAAAGTTTTGTATAATTGTTTCATGGGATTTGGAACAAGATATGTTATTAAATAAACCATTTCCAGTTATTACTCAAACATACTCAAAAAAGAGTATTGATTAAATATAACAGACTTATTATTAAATAATATTTGACATCTTGACTTTACTTTCTCTGGAATATGCTACTTAGCACATTTGGTTTATACATGTTGTACTTCAACAGATATTATAATTATTTAAAATCCTATAGTTATTTAAAATATAAATAAAGCAAATTTCACAATTAGAGGTGAAAAATTTTATTTTTACATTTAGTTGCCATCTCAAAATGTTTATTATAGATCTGACTCAACCTACCCAAACACATTTTCTGTTATTGTTAAACACAATTACATCTAAAGGCCATCAATGATATTCATGTTGTAGGGTGAGATTCAGAGTCAGAAGGGATGTTTAAGCAAATTAATAGTAATGATCAAAGTATGGGAAGAGAAGTCACACACATAGATTTGCATAAATCAATGAGTGCTGCTGTTTCAGAGATGGAAGAACTGGAGGAAAGATCCATTATAACAAGCATTAAAGGCCCCTTTGAGAGTAGAACTTTGATAATGGAATCAGAGAGACAATAGGGTAACGGTGAGCAACCAATCATATTGCAGGTGGGGCTCTGTTGGGTGCTAGTATCGACAAGCAGTGTTTGGTGTACATGGTGGGCTTAGGGTTCCTGCCCCAGCTTTGGAGGTGACGTCAGTTACTAAAGTCAGAAACAGCTGAAGAGGCACCAACTGGTTACAGAGACCTAACTGCATTGTGCTGATGGCAGGTCAGAGCAAAATGGTTTTCTAATATGTAAATCAAAATGACCAAAGAAGAGTTAACGTGGAAAACATAGATCTTAGGTTCAGGACGAGGCAGATTTTAATTACTGGTTTGGACTTGGAGTGTATTTTCAAATTTCTTTGAACCTTGGTTGTCTCATTTATTAATAGGGATAATAATACCAATATAGCAGGGATGTTATAAGAATTGAAGGATTAATAATATCATATATATGAAATAATATTATGGCCTCAAACTTAATAATAAACTGTTTGGTATTATTACTAGTGGGCTAAAGACATATTTAAATAAGAGACACATAGAAATGTTAACAGCTACAAAACACTACAGAGATTACTTTAAAAATAGGAAGAGGCATAATCAATTTAATGAATTCTTATTCTGCCTTGTGATTTTTGTTACATATAATTGTTTGCTTATAAAAGGATTAATAAAATAATTCAGGTTATTAGTAGATATGGGAATAAAACTATGTTTATATTTTTCCACTGGTATATTTGACTTTCTTAACAAATTCATTCTACAGTTGTTGGTAAATCTTTGACCAAGATAAAAAGGATCTACTTTAACAAGATTTTACAGTTGAATTTTTAGAAGTACAGGATAATTTGAACTGATGATTATTGTTAGTAAGCACTCCTTTGTCTTTGAAAAAATATAAGCATACAATTTGGGAGGGAGAGGTTAGAAGTAGGATATTGGAATAAAAGTTGAGATCCCAAGGAGCATTTCTGGCTACATAGTAACTGCTGTGAGGACTATTCTATTCTAAGCAGCAGTAGCAGCAATAAACTCACATTAGTAAAAATAAACTAATGAGATAATTATCTTGGAACATCATTGTGTCTTCCACCATTTCATATTCTGAAGGCTTTGGTGACATATAAATAAATATTATCATATTATATATCATATCTGAAAAATTATTACAGGCTTTTAATAGAGATATTTTGCCAAATGCATATCAATATGTATATTTATTTGGAATGGCAGTTTGATGTATAGGAAAATAGTTCTTTCCACTTTATTTTTGATGATTATCAGCCAACTAAATTAGTACCGCCCCTTTGTAAATGGAGCTTTATTGCTGCAAGGAAGAATGTAGGTAAGATCAATGATACACAAGTTTGTTCATCTGTATGCAAAAGAATAATAAAATGATGTACATAGAAAAGGTATAAATACAGCCTCAAAAACCTTTAGCTTTCCTGTTTTAAGTTTTAGGTGCTTTGAGAGAAGAAATATATGCATTCAATTTTAACAGAAAAAAACCATAAAGCTTCCTTTTCATCATACTGATAAAATTTTATTAAGACTGTAATTTTTAGTTCTAAAAGTATTCCTTGGACATGATATTGCTCACATTTTCTATCAGTCTGAGAGACAGGCATAGACTGTGAATATACCTCCTTTTCTGAATAGAATATGTTCTCAAATCATAAACTATAAAGAAATAAATCAGCCTTCAGGCCTTGATTCCATACTTGAGGCTCTGGTAAGGTTAGAGGGCACCATCCTGGATAAGAGCTCATCTTTCCAGGCAAAAGGAAGGAAAGTTGTCCAATACACACCACTCATGAACATAATTACATATGTAGTTGCAACCAGCAGTCAAATCACAAATTCAAACTATGTATGACAGTTGGCAGAAGTCCAATAATTACTTGTTTGTGGACTTTCCTTGTAAACATCATGACATAATAAGTGTCTAAGTAAAAACCATCCAATTTATGTCTATAGCAATGCCTTGAAGCATGACTAATACCACCTCATGATTAATTACGTGGGGCTGGAATGAGAGCCCCTGAACCTGAGAGTTACAGTCTATTTAATATCCTATAGAATGGTTAGGTGTGGATTAAAACACCCCATCCTGCAGAGAAGACAACAGAGAGTTCATGCAAAGGAAGAGGTAACATAATGCAAAAGTCAGCGGCAACCAAAGGGTTCCAGATTTTTGAGACTGTATTCTTACACAATATTTGATGGCCATTTAAGGAGACATGCAAAACAAAGTACCTGTACACCAAACTTATTGCTGTGTAAAGAACAGCAAAAACAATAAATTCCCTGTACAGTAGTTTGTAGATGCTGCCTCTCCACTTGAGTAGTAACCTATGAAATCCAAAAAAAGTCGCATTTGCTACTTTACTGGAGTAAGTGACAGTCATCTTGGATAGTTTTTTCTAGAAGAGTAAGAAGACAAAACACAAATAAAAAGTCATGTTTAAAATAGGGCATAAGTAAATCTGTATATCAAAGGAAACCCAAGCCAGTTACCAATCAGCCATCTCCTTTCTTAATTCGTATACTTGGAGCTTGAGGATAACCATCTCAGTGTTAGAGCTCTTAGCAGAGAAAAGGAAGGAAAGGAGCCTCTGGGATGAGTGATAATAGAAATCTTAAAGTTGCCTTAGTAACAAAATGTTATTTTAGACTGAATAGCCACTGATCAATAAATTCTTAAATAAATGAGACATATACATGGTAACATCACCTATCATATGTTTTCAATACACTGGAGAATTTAGGATATTGATATGCTAAGTTAATTGATATTTTCTTTCTTTTTTTTTTTTTGGTACCAGAGATCGAACTCAGGTCCTTGTGCTTGTGAGGCAGGCGGCGGCACCACTGAGTTAAATCCCTGGCCCTAATTGATATTTTCGAGAGCAGTGCCCAAATAATAAGTGTGCCTAAGTATTGACACCTTTAAAATTTCTAAGGGGAAGTTGTGGCTCTCATCCCCAAAATTCAGATATTGCTGGAAAGAAGCCAGGTTCTCATAAGAATATAACTGGTGGGTTACTGTTGGTGGTTTCAGTTGTATGGGGTCTCTCTAGAGGTGCTCTCTGGGCTCCGCACTCTTGTGCCCTTCAAGAAGCAGCCAAAATGTTAGCAACAGTGATATTTTTAAAGAGTGCACTTTTCCTATGAAAAGTCTCATTAAAATGCTTACAGGTGGTTGACTTTCTGATCAGAACTGAGCAAAATGAGGTTATTACTTAGGACTTTTTACTTGGATCTGTTCCATGGATGTAGATAGGAGAAGAATGACACCCTGAAGCCTAGTTTTTGGTTAGTTCTTTGGCATTCCATTGCTTTTCCATGAGGTGCTAAATATTCAGTGTTTGAGACAGATGGCCCAAAAGTAACCTTCGAAAATCCTACTCAACTATTGGCTAACATGGATCATATGCAGATAAAATAAGATTTCCCTGAAATCTTGGTTTTCTCAAAAGGATCTGTGAGGAAAGTCTAATAGTGCTACTTTGAGATCATGGAGCTTTTAGGTAAACTGTTGTAGACATAAAAACTAAATTCTCTAACAGAGTTCTCATAAAGTAACATATGTTACACATTTTACAATAAACAAGAAAACATTATCTTTATTCATACACAGAAAAACAATCCAACTCCAATTTACCCATTTTCTTTAAGAAAATAAATTCTGGGGAGCTTACATTCGTAGCATTTTTTTAAAAAAATCACAAACTCAGTCTCCAGTGGTACTGATTTTAATAAAGAAACCAGGGCCTCCTAGCATAAGTAAGTGGCATTAGGAAAAATGGGACTCATGCCACAAGACTAATTTCATTTTTCCATTTTTACTTTGTCTATTTGTCTAACATGAACACGGCTAACCCTGGGACAGGAGCATGATAAACTCATTTCATAATTTGTTCTCAGAGGTGTGGTAGTTTTCAATAACAGTCCTCAAATAACTTTCCTTCATTTAATCATTCACCCTTCTGTTTAGCCTCTGTCAGAAATACTAACATCACATAGAGTAGAGGTCAGTGTTAACATGCATTGATTCACTCTGTGCACTCACCTATTTACTTGGAGTCTCTGAGAGCGAAGAAAATCTGCAAAGTTCAGGCTCCCCTTGAAGAGGTGCTTTCAGGTCGCAGTTGTCCTCTTGGTTTCACCCTTCGTTCATGGACAGTTAGATTTTCTTTCTGTTTTCTCTGGCTACTGTGCACGTCCAGAGTGTAACAAGCACAGAGGTTGAATGCTTTTTCCACTTGTGGAGGCCTGTTTATGCCAATTTGCCCACTGATGACAGTTATAGCTGGGAACAAACAGAAGTGACAGCTGCTGATGTTGCTTTTTTCTAATCTATAATTATAACTCCACCTGCCACTCAAAGTACCCCTTTGAATGAGGAGTCGGTGGTGACATTAAGGATGTGGGGCCATTTAAATCTGTTAGATTCATTTCAACTCCATCCTGGGATCAAGGGAGAAAGTTCTATTTTCCCTTAGCCAATGAAGGGAATTAGGGCACTCTTATTTGTGCTTGAAATGAAGAATATATTTTTATGAAGCCATCAGCGGAGGCAGACAAGAATATAAATAGGAATTTCATTCATTTAAGAGATACTGAGAATGCTCTTCCATTAAAAGCAATAAGCTACGTTTTAGAGTGTGTGTGTGTTTATGTTTTAGATGAACATACAGAATTACGACATGTGATGGCTCAGTGTAATGGAAAATGGTCACATACTTGATTTGTAACACTTTTATCTTTTCTATGGTTAGCTGGAAAATTTTAAATTATCAAGCTGTTTTCTCTTAGAATTATGTCTATACATTTTACTTCTTAAAAGAGTTCATCTGCATTGTTCAAAAATTGGAATTATTAACTTGAGGGCTAATCCTTGGAACCTTTGCAACTTTCTGAAGCAACTTTGTGCACCAATCATTGTACTATAAGCTTAAAGAAAATGACTTCAAATGAACATTTTTTGTGGGGAAAGAGAAGACTTGCTTATTCTAAAAACTGAGAATACATATAATTGAAATTTTTTTCTAAAGAATTCTTAAGTTTTATATACAGTTGGCTGTAAATACCTTAGAGCAATGATGGAGTTGTAGGTGTCTTTAATTTCTAACAGAGTTTCAACATGGAGACCTGTAAATAATGGATATTCAATGTATATTTGCTGTTTGATTATCGTCTTTTTGGGGGGGGGTTTGAGACAGGGTCTCACTATGTAGTTGAGACTGATCTGGAACTCACTATGAAGCTTGTGCTGGTCTCGAACTCACAGCGATCCTCCTGCCTCAGCCTCCCGAGTGCTGGGATTACAGGCATGTGCCACCACGCCCGGTTTGATTATCACGTTATCTTCACTATTATACTTCTGTTGGTAGATCTGGGGGAGTTTTGGGACAACTGAAAAGCATGTACACAATATGCATCACATCTTACATTTGGGTTGTCATGAAAAATGATTGGGTAGATATAATATTATAAAGGTTTTCAAGGCTGAGCAGTGTTAGGGAATTTGAGCAAATCTAATCCTTATGAAGTAGAAACATTGAAGATATTTTGTAAATTACCACTTCTGAATCTCCTATTAAATATGTGATGGCCTGAAAGTTGGTGGAACTAGGAAAACTGCTCCTTCGGTATGGCACTGTCAGCACTTTCGGTCACTCCCATTTTTGGACAAGGGTAATTATGTTCATCTTTCCCAACAGGTTGCTTGAATAATGGTGAGCGCATTCTATATGCAAATTAGTCAATAATAATTTGATTGAATAAATGAACTCCCCTTATTGAGCTCTGAGTCTGGTGATTATTTCTAATAGGTACTGAAAGATGCCATTTGGTAATTAGCTGTTTTTTTTCTTTTGGTACCAGGGATTGAACTCAGGACCTTGTGCTTGTGAGGCAGGAGTGGTGCCACTGAGCTAAATCCCCAGCCTATAATTAACTCTTTAGATGAAACAAGCCACTAGAGCTTATTTCAAAATGTCTAGCAAACACCAAACTGAAAAGTTTACTACATAGGAAGTTTTGAAGAAAACTGTAAAATTTCTTGTTTAAAATGGACATATTCTTCAAGATTCTGAAGGTAATATACAATTGCAAAAAAAAGTAAAACAACATATAAAGAACAGAGTAATAATCATGCCACCCAGAAAGGTCTTAACATTGGGCATAAAGTTTGTCTTTCTATATTTTGTGGAAAATATTTTCATTCCCATAATTAATAGCAAACAATATGACAGAGGCCTCTGTGAAATAACTACACCACTCATATTTCCTCTTGACAGCTAGCAACAGGTTATGTGATTTTGACCACTGATTTTCAACAGTTCAGGCAAGCACATCTATCTTTGATTTGAGTAAACCTTCAGTGATAGGATAATTCATAAAAGAAAAGTGGTTATTTCCAAGTGATAGGAATACTGGAAATCACCAATTGGTGTTGTTACCCTTCGTTCTTTAAGCCAATAGAGAATAGCAAGTTTAGATAGTCACTGCCATTCCACATTAGTTTTACACAGATTTATTTACTTCATTGCTGTGATAAATTTCTTGTCAAATTTCTTTTGAGTGTTTGGTTAAATATAGTTGTGGTGACTACGCTTTAATTGTGTCAATTTGATTGGCTTGGGATAGACTGAGGGAATTGATAAAGCACACTTCTGGGGTCTGGGTGAGTCACTGAGAAGCGACCATGGGGTCTATATCTGGTCCCTTGCCCCTTTCTCTCTGGCACTGTTTCCCTCCTGTGCTTCCCAGCCACCAAGAACCAAGCAGCTTTGCTTTGCCATGTCCTTCTGCTGTGATGTCAGTTGATCGGCTTTGGAGTCAGTTGATCATGGACTGAATCCCCTGAAATTGAAACTGTGAGCCAAGTTAAACCTCTTCTCCATTAAATTGTCAGTATCTGATATTGTGTCCCCAAAGCTGACTAATACAATGGTTATATGTAAGTAAAACTTTGCATTTTAATATTAACCAAAGACCAGAAATGGCAGTATTTTGGAGGAGATGAATCCTGAGCTTGACTTTTAGACATTATTAAATAGGAATCAAGGACTTAGTATTTTTGAAGAGAAAAAGGATTTGGAAAACATTTGTGTTTCAGAAAAGTGGTGAGTATTTGCAAAGGCTGTGTGATAGATTGGAATGGGCAGGGACTATAGCAAAGGGATCCATTCGGAGGGTATTTTATGGTTGTTTTAGTATGAATTAGAATGGTGGTAAGTGGAATACCAAAGAAAGATGGTGATAGAGAACCTGAGGGAGATCTCCACCAAAGGGAGGAGCAGGTAGGGGTAGGGTTGGGAAGAGAAAAGAAGTCATATATAGCACTGTCCTTTGAGCAGCCTTTTTGCTCACAAAACAGATACGACAGAACATGATTCTC